ATGGTTCCTTCTTAGGCCCCCTAATGCTTCCCCTTCCTTCTATGATGCCCCCCCCCCACTTCACGATTCCCCACTTCCCATATAGCGCCCCTCTTTTTCCCCGCAGTGTTTGCCCTTCCCCCACATTGCTCCCCCCCACCATGACGGCACTCCATGTACATATCCGGCCGTGATTGTCTCCTGGAGGGGAATCTTCAGACTTTCAGAAGTTCAAACTTTTAATTTTCACCTTTTTAATTAATCGCGGACTTTTCCTGACTTTCCTCCTGTTTGGCTTGTCATTTATTTCTTGCCATGGTCTCCGGGCGGAGATTAGCTCGGGAAGTCATTCCGCTTGGCTCTGGGGGTCTGACATGTCGCTCTCGTCGTCCAGATAACGGCTTTCAATAAAGCTGTACCTGGGACGCATTAGCGCGCGCGGGCGGATTGATGGGCAGCCCGCCAGGAAGCAACATGGAGGACGCTCACTTAACATGCAGCCTGCCGGTTGCCGGGAGAAGCGCGGACAATTACAGGACATGACAGGGCAGATAAAACATCGCTGATATAATTATAATGACCGGCGGGGTGACAATGGAGACACCGCGCGCGCCTCTGATGTATTACCCTCCGTCTTAAAGCGCCGGACAGCCTACATTCCTGCCGCAGTTACCGCCGGCTTCCTGCAAATGGCTGATTTACATTTCCAGATAGATATGTAAAGTGGAGTCTATCAGAACTGAAAATAATTAAAGGTTCTGACCCCCCGGGGGAGGGATTCTCCTACGCACAGCTTACTTCCTGTGCAGGACGCCGCAGGCCACCTCTGCCAAGCCTCATTTAGCCTCCGATGGCTGCTAATACAGAACCGTACCATAGGGGGGACTTTAATAACATCAATCCTCCCAAAACTAAAGTTTCAGCTTCCTCCCCTTTGTATCTTTTGGGGGCTCCAGAAGGGGAGATCTTAGTGCAGCGTGATGCTTTATCCTGCTTGCTGCAGCAGGAGTCTCACTCCTTCTGCTTCACCATCTGCAACGTAAGATAATGTAAAAGCGTCCGGTCTACTTTAAAGGGGAACTCCAAATTTAGTGAAAGAAGTTACAATCCTCTCCTGCTCCTCATTGGGCACCGCAAGGATTTCAGATACTTTCCTGCTTCAGCTCTGTAGATACTGCAGGCCTTGTACAGGGGAGCGCTGTCACACCGTCATACTGTCACACCGTCTTACTGTCACACCGTCATACTGTCACACCGTCTTACTGTCACACCGTCTTACTGTCACACCGTCATACTGTCACACCGTCTTACTGTCATACAGTCACACCATCATACTGTCACACCATCATACTGTCATACTATCACACCGTCATAATATCACACCGTCATACTATCACACCGTCATACTATCACACCGTCATACAGTCACCCCGTCATACTGTCACACCGTCATACAGTCCCACCGTCATACTGTCACACCGTCTTACTGTCATACAGTCACACCGTCATACAGTCACACCGTCATACAGTCACACCGTCATACAGTCACACCGTCATACAGTCACACCGTCATACAGTCACACCGTCATACAGTCACACCGTCATACAGTCACACCGTCATACAGTCACACCGTCATACAGTCACACCGTCATACAGTCACACCGTCATACAGTCACACCGTCATACAGTCACACCGTCATACAGTCACACCGTCATACAGTCACACCGTCATACAGTCACACCGTCATACAGTCACACCGTCATACAGTCACACCGTCATACAGTCACACCGTCATACAGTCACACCGTCATACAGTCACACCGTCATACAGTCACACCGTCATACAGTCACACCGTCATACAGTCACACCGTCATACAGTCACACCGTCATACAGTCACACCGTCATACAGTCACACCGTCATACAGTCACACCGTCATACAGTCACACCGTCATACAGTCACACCGTCATACAGTCACACCGTCATACAGTCACACCGTCATACAGTCACACCGTCATACAGTCACACCGTCATACAGTCACACCGTCATACAGTCACACCGTCATACAGTCACACCGTCATACAGTCACACCGTCATACAGTCACACCGTCATACAGTCACACCGTCATACAGTCACACCGTCATACAGTCACACCGTCATACAGTCACACCGTCATACAGTCACACCGTCATACAGTCACACCGTCATACAGTCACACCGTCATACAGTCACACCGTCATACAGTCACACCGTCATACAGTCACACCGTCATACAGTCACACCGTCATACAGTCACACCGTCATACAGTCACACCGTCATACAGTCACACCGTCATACAGTCACACCGTCATACAGTCACACCGTCATACAGTCACACCGTCATACAGTCACACCGTCATACAGTCACACCGTCATACAGTCACACCGTCATACTGTCACACCGTCTTACTGTCATACAGTCACACCATCATACTGTCACACCGTCATGCTGTCACACCGTCATACAGTCACACCGTCATACTGTCACACCGTCATACAGTCACACCGTCATACAGTCACACCGTCATACTGTCACACCATCATACTGTCACACCGTCATACTATCACACCATCATACTATCACAATCACACCGTCATACTGCCACACCGTCATACTGTCACACCATCATACTATCACACCATCATACTGTCACACCGTCATACTATCACACCGTCATACTGT